AGCTCCTTAAAAGATGCTGCTAAGAATGTGTACAGTTGGCTGAAGGTCGGTTTGTAGAGCAGGTATTTATGGGGGTTTTCTCTTCTGGTAGGTTTGTCAGCAGATTCCTGCATTCCTAGCTTGTTCATCTGCGAGGCTAAGTTCATTGGCTCCCTTTCCAGGGCTTGTAACATCCGGAACATGTCAACGGTTAGTTCACTGAACTTAACAGTGTCTCGCTATGTGTCCCAGGCTGGCTTCAAACTCATGGCAATCCTCCTTCCTCAGTCTCTTGAGTGCTGGGATTTCAGGACGGCAACATGCTTGGTCAAAATTTTTTTTTTTAAAAGGGCTGGGATCGCCGCCTGCTGCGCAATCACAAGGACCCGAGTTCGATCTCCAGTACCAAAAATAAATAAATAAAAAAAATAAAAAAGGCTGGGAGGACTGGGGATTTAGCTCAGTGGCTTCGCTGCCTGCTGCGCAAGCGCAAGGACCCAAGTTCGATCCCGGGTACCAAAAAAAAAAAAACCAAAAAACCAAATGTATCACTGTAAGAAGGGCTCGGAATGAAGCCAAGCATGAAGACTTTGAGTCTAATTCCCAGTACTGAAAAGATCAAAATCACAATCTGAAAACAGTCAGTGATAATCTTCATTGACTATTCACTTTGTGGTACTGGGGCTTGAACCCAGGGCCTTGACACTGAGCTACACCCCCAGCCCTTTTATTTTTTGAGACAGGGTCTCACTAAGTTGGTAAATTGGGTCAAACTGGGTTTGAATTTGTGCTCTTCCTGCCTCAGCCTCCCAGAGTGCTGGGATTACAGGTGTGCACCATCACATCTAGCTATTTTTAAATTTTATTTTATTTTTCCTATTGCAATTAGTGCCTATTAACTTTACAAATTATTGGGTTTCATTTCATATATTTCAATTAGATCCCTCTGCCTTACTAGGGTCACAGTCTTGACTGCGCACACTCCTGTAGGCACAAGGGCTGAGGCTACAGAAATTGAGGGTAAACGGAGAGTTGGCGGTAGGGCCTCAAAGTCTGGAGGAGAGTAGCAAGGGGGTTGGGAGAAGGCTGCTGGGTCAAAGTGATGGTACCATAGTTCTTTTATCCATGTTACTCAGCTATTTCATAAAAACAGTAACACAGTTACAATGTCCCCAGCTCTGTGTAATCACTTTATGTGTATGCTGGCATTTAGTTGTCACAACCCTAATTGGCATCACTCACTTTGTGGGTCAGAGAACTGAGGCGGTCAGGTTACCAGGTGCCAGCCAAGAAGAGCCAGAGCTAGGGCCAGGCTGGAGCTCAAGTCTGGTTCTGACCTCTGAGCCTGCTGCCTCCTACCCTCCCTCCCATCCTTTCTTCTTGATGGCACCACACATTGCCTCAAGGCTGTGCCCATACTAGGCACTGGCTCTAGCACTGACCATGCCCCCAGCCCCCCAGCTGTTCTCACATCTTCAGGGGTTTCTGCTGCTCTGTGCACACCTGGTCCTCATCACTCTGCCAGCAGCCAGGGCCCTAAAATATCCCTTCCCCCTGCCCCTGTGCCAGTGAGCAGCGCAGGCACCTGCCTGGCCCCTGGGCACTCTGAGCTGTCTTCTTCCCCATCCCCAGGCAGGGGCAGTAAGGAGGGGGAGGGAATCCCTGGGAGGGGAGTCTGAGAGCCCTGTTCCTGACTGGCCAGGAGAGGCTTTGGAGATTCCTGGGAGGCAGATTTTGGTTGTCGGCATGAGTAGGCAGGAATCTGATGCTGGGGGACAGCCCTACACCATGACTTGTACCATCCTTGGAAATTGCTTAAGAATGGTAAAAAGAGCTAGGCATGGTGGTGCATGCCTGTAATCCTAGTACTCTGAAGGCTGAGACAGGATGATCCTGAGGTTGGGGCCAGCTCAGGCAACTTAGCAAATTCATTAGCGGAGTATATAGTGAGACAGGGGAGAGAGGAGGAAGGGAGATATGCAGAGGAGAAGAGGAAGAGAGGAGAGAAGGGGGAGAAGGTAAGGAGATTTAAAAAATAAAAAAAGGCCTCCCAAAATGTTTTTTTGCAGTACCAGGGATGGAACTCATGACCTTGAACTTGCGAGGTGGGCACGGTGCTGAGGTAAATCCCCAGCCCCCAAAATGTTTATTAAAAGAAAGCATTGGAGTCAGGTGTGGTGGTGCACCCCTGTAATCCCAGCACTCAGGAGGCTGAAGCAGGAGGTTGCCACAAGTTCGAGGCCAGCCTGGGCTACATGGTGAATTCAAGGCCAGCCTGAACTACCTAGTGAGACCCTGGGAACCTATGCCCGCCCCTCATCAAAAATAGACATCTTGAGGACCAGAGGTTTAGCTAAGTCGTGCCAGCACCTGCCTGGCAAGCGCAAGGTCCTGAGTTCCATCCCCAGTTCCACAAAACAAAAAGCAAATATATCTTGGGCTAGTTGTGGTGGTGCATGCCTGCTATCCCAGCACTCCAGAGGCTGAGGCAGGAAGATCGAAAGTTTGAGGCCAGCTGGGCGTGGTGGCACAAGCCTGCTATTCCATCACTCACACAGCTGAGGCTGAGGATCGCTTCTGAGTTAGAGGCTAGCCTGAACTACATAGTGAGACCTTGTCTCCAAAATAAAAAGTAAATATTAAGTTTGAGGCCAGGTGGGTAACTTAGCGAGACCTCGTCTCAAAAAAAAAAGCCCCAAAACAAAAACAGGACCTATAGTGACTCTTAGCTATTTGGGAAGACTGTGGCAGGAGGATCACTTGACATCAGGAGTTCAAAGCCAGTCTGGGCAACATAATGGGATCCCATCTCAAAAAACAAGATGAAATAAACACCCCCCCCCATGAAAAACCAGGCATTGTGGCACATGTCTAACCCCAGTATTCTGAGAAGCTGAAGCAGGAAGATCACAAATTTGAGCCCAGCCCGGGATAACTTAAGTGACTTCACAAGACTGTTTCAAAATAAAAAATTAAATTAAAAAAAAAAAGCTGGGAATTTAGTTCAGTGCAAAGGCCCTGGGTTCAATTCCCAGGGCCATAAACACAACAAAGCAAAACATCCTGGGATTCTAGAGGAGGGTGTGCACTCCAATGAGGATCAGAACACAGGAGGGACTGGGAGGCAGGCTCTGTTCCCCACTGTCTGCCCTAGCAACTCTGGCCAATCTTCACACATCAATTCTGGAATTAAGTAGGGATGACAAATTAAACTGGTCTGTGACAACTGAAACTCACATTGTGGTAATTATATGAGGGTTTTTTTTTTATTGAGATAGGGTCTCACTCTGTAGGCCAAGTTGTCCTTAAACTTGTGATCCTCCTGCCTCAGCCTTCCAAGTCCTAGGATTATAGGCATGTGCCACCACACCCAGCTGTTTTTTTGAGGCAGGGTCTCACTCAGTAATTCAGGCTGACCTTGAACTATGTAGCATAGGCTGGCCTCAAACTTGCCTCCTGCTTCAGCCTTCCGTGTGGTGGGATCACAGGTGTGCAGCACCACACCCGGCTTGCAATTTGCCCTTCTTAAAAATTGTTTCTTGTGGTGCTGGAGATGGGATTCAGGGCCTTGCAAATGCTAGGCAAGTGCTCTACCACTGAGCTGCACTGCCAACCTGATTTAACCTTTATTATATTATCCTATTCTAGGGTGTCTGACTTGTGTGTGCCGTGTTTTGACTTATGCAGTATTTTTACCAATGGCCTAGATCTAAGTCAAATACCAGTTATTAGCCCGGTGTATAATCTCACCACTCGGGAGGGCTCAGGCAGGAGGACTGAGTTTGAGGCCAGCCTGGGCTACATAGTGAAACCCTCTCTCCAAAAATCAACAAACAAAACAAAACACCAGTTATATGAATAATTTCACGACCCTGGATACTTTAGAAAAAATTATATATAAAGCTCTGGTCCCACATGGTGGCACATGCCTGTAATCCTAGTACTCAGTAGGCTGAGGCAGGAGGATCACTGAGTTCGAGGCCAGCCTGAACTAGTCAGACCGTCTCAAATAACAACAACAAAAAAGTATCCCCAACTCTCATTATCCTTGATTTTTTGGGGGGGAGTTTAATTTTAAATTTAGCAATACCTCAGGCCTGAAACAATCCTGGAACCCCCTTCAGGATCATCATTTCTCTTCAATCATAGAGGCTCTGAGAACCTGAGAAACTGGGTCTAGAAGGTTGCCTCTTATATGTCTCAGGGCTGGGTACAATCTGGAGAACCTGAGCATCAGCTCTTGTTTAGAATTGGGCATCTCTCTTCCCTGCAAATGTTTTAAAGCACCAAACTGCTTTCCAACATCCCCAACAGCTCAATGGATTGGGTTTGCAGAAGACAACTCCTAAAAAGGGGATTGCCTGGCAGAGTGCTAAGAAAAATAATTTGTTTCACAGATGTTTATAAGGTGACATTTTAATAAAAAATATAAGCTACTTAGAAACCTAGAGTGAGTTTTGTGCCCTATAAGGCCCTTTTCCCCCCATGATTTTTTTTGAGACAGGGTTGCACTATGTAGTCCAGGCTGGCCTTGAACTCACTGTGTAACCCAGGCTGACCTCAAACTGTGGCAATCCTCCTGCCTCAGCCTCCCGAGTGTTGGAATTACAGGGGTGTGCTACCATGCCTGGCTCCCTTGTTGATTTTTGTGATAGGTTTGGGGTTGCAGTTTGGGAACTCAGTCTCTAAAAGGTTTGCTGTCACTGGTCTAAAGGCAACCACAGTGCCTCCTAATAGCTCCTCTCCAAGGACCAAGCCTTCAATACATGGGCCTCTGGGGACATTTAACAACTGAACCATGGCACCTGGGGAGCTATTTGGAGATGTGGTGTTCAGATTCCATGGTGTCTGCTCAGGGGCACATTTCATTCCCAGTTGTTTGTTAAGAGCGAGCTTCCGATAGAGTGGGGCATTTAACCTGTCTGTGGCTTGAGCAGGGAGGGGAGGCCGACAAATGAAACAGTTCTTGCCTCAGTTGGCTTGGCTTCCATCTTAAGGCACAGCTCAGCACACCACTTATGCATTTTTTCTTCTACTGAATACTTCAAACGGTTTTTATTATACACTCAATTCTAGTAAACACTGGATTTGGTTCTAGTCTCCTTCTGATCCATTCATCCATCCACCCTGTCCTGCACTGCAGGACTAAGCACTTGTCTTCTCTTAGGTGGTATGGAACTGGCAAGGGCCTGCAGGGTGGCAGTGTCCCACAGTCAGTCTTCATCCGAGTCACTGGGGCCCATGTACTGGCAGATGGCGTCATAGTGAAGCTCCACCAACTGATTCTCTCTCCGCAGCTGCACCAAAGCCTGGCTCCGGGCTCTGTCCTGGCCCAGCAGATGGCCCACCTGGAGCAGGGGTGGGGCGGAGTCAGCCAGGCCACCCCGTACCCTGGGACATTGCTTGAGTGACCCCCCAAGCCTCCACTTCCAGAAGTGAGACTCACCCTTCCAGCCTGTGGCCCCAGCACCACCATCACGCGATCACCCTCAACCTTGGGAACCAGGGTCTCCAGCATGTCTTCCCTCAGGCCTGTGGATGAGGGAAGAGAGTGAGGCCCATAGCAGAGTGCCCAGCCCAAGCCTGTGGGAAGGGCCTCTGGCATATTCCCTAGAGCCACCCTCACACTGGTGACAGATAGAGTCCGACCACACCAACTTCAGGGCGCAGAAGCCTAGGACACAGTGCACAGAAAGAACAGCACTCCAGGGAGCGCTTCTATGCGGGCCCCACCCCACCCCAGAAGCTCCTCACACTCTCATCAGGCACCAGTCACTTCGGAGAGAAGTCACTTCCACACTAATCTGACAGATGGCATTGCTCCCATGAAGTGTCTAACGGTTCTGCACCAGGTTGTTGGGCCTTGCAGAGAAATTGAACTCTGCCCAACCTCCCAGCCTTGCCCAGGCCAGGCTCCTGGCCTCAGACACCCTTCTCCATCAGCTGGTGAGATGACAGCAAACCAGCTGCCATGGCTCAGGCTCACCTTCCAGGACCTGGCCTTCATCTGTCCGGCACACACACGTGTCTCGGCTCAGGACATCTTCAATTGTCATCTGGAGGGACAGGTGAGGAGCATGAGAGGATAGAGGGTCAGAGGCCCAATCCCTAGGTGTGGTAGGCCCCTCAGGCTGCGGGTTCACACCTTGGTGTTGTAATACTGGCCGCCCTTGTGCAACTTGTCCACAAAGCGCACGCGCAGGTCCCTGTGCAGCCAGTGCTGACTCCTGGTGACTGCTTTCTCACTCTTGGCCACAGGCCTATCCTGTCTGGAGAGGGCACCAACACCAGGCTCAGCACTTTAGCACACACATTTTCTGGCTGTCCTACCTTTGCCTATGCTGTGAAGTCCACCCAGATTTGTTCCTAGTTCCTTCTGTTCCTCATCCCTCCTCTGGGAGCCTCTCCACGCCCCCACCTTCTTTCCCATCCCAGAGGCCCAGGGTCCCACCGGTCTGGAGGGTGTTTCCGCTTCCTCCCTGAGTCTTTCTGCCGGCCGTGGAGGTCTTCACTCTGGAGGGCCTTTTGTGATGAAGATGCACCACTGTGTTGCCCCGAGGAAGTTCTGTTCACCTGGCCTGTTCCAGGGGTTCAGGAAGAGTAGGTAAAGAGCCTCAGTGTCTCACTGCCCCTACTTTCCAAGGCTACAGCTCAGCCTAGTCCATCTCCCACCTGCCAATGTGCCCCTTCTCATCTTTTCGCCTTTGTCAGGGCTATGAGAATGCCTCTCCCCTTCCTTTCCACTGTTGCGGGTCCCTTCAGGACACCTCTCCCAGCTACACAGCCTACTGTACACCACAAAGCCTGGTGAGCTTTCTGCACCCAGCTGCCCAGAACTTTTCCTACTGCCATGCCTTTACCTGGGCTATGCTGCCCGCCACCTCCTCACCCACCACTTGGGTCTTACTCCCTTGAAAAAGGAAGGCCGTCACCCCAAAGAGACAAAGACCTCCTGGGGAAATGAACTGCTTTCCATACCTGATTCTTTCCCTTAGAAAAAGGCTAAAGACCCAAGGGTATAGATTAGCCTTTCTTTAGTCAAACTGAATAAACTGGATAAACTGGGCTAGGCATGGTTTGGTAGAGCACCCATTTAGCATGTGCAAGGCCCTGGCTTCCATCCTCAGCACTGCCAAACAGACAAAAAACCTGAATAAACTTCTCATGGCCCTTCTCACCTCCTGACTGTGTCTAGAAGTCACATTTGCCAGCAGCCCCTCGCCCCTGCCCCTGCAGATAGAAAACCACCCTGAGACAGCCCCTCAATGCTTCCCCAACTTCCAAGCTGTGTAAGAGGCTCACTCACCAGGATGCAAGTTCTTGTCAAACTCCTGCTGGGACACAGGTTGCAGACAGTACTCGCTAACAGTCACCATGCGACTGCCCACTGCTAGACGAACCATGACTCGCACATTGTCGGGATCAAGGCCTTCCACCTGAGTGGGGAAGGGGACAGCAGGAGGGGCTTGAGAGGACTCCACCACATTTCTAGAACCAAGCTGTTCACCCTTTACCTCCAACAGGGCTGACCTCTGTGTATCTCTCCAATCAGACTGTGACCCCTAAAAAGTGGGACTTGGCCTGGTTCCCAAGTCTCCCTCAGTAGACTGTGGGGTTCAGACATCCTTTGAGCATGTATGCATGCATTTATTTATTTTAGTTTTTTGAGACAGGGTCTCACTATGTTGTTCAGGATGGCCTTGAACTAGTAGTGATCCTCCTGCCTCAGTCTACTGAATGCCTTTGATCATTTAATCCTTGGGGACCTTGTGACATATGGCATTCTCTCACTTTTGAGTCTGAACTGAGACTCAGAAAGGCCCAGCCAGTGGTCTTAGGTTACCTAGTGAGGCAATGAGCCAGGCAGGTCTGAATGACAAAGACTCATAGACTTTCAAACCCAATTCTTCCTCTATTTGGCCCTCAAGTCAATCTTCCCATTGTGTATTTGAGGCTCCAGGAATAACTTTTTTGCAATGCTGGGGATGTAACCAGAGTTGAGTGCATGCTATATCCTCAGCCCTCCAGGGACATTTTGGTTCCTTACCTTCCCGTAGAGGCCACGGTGAGGGCCAGAAAGGACCACCACAGCTCCTCCAGGAACCAGCCCTTGCAGCTGGTCTTCCTTATCCTTCTCTTGCTCCCCATCTGGCCTTGGTGGGCAGCAGGAGCCACTGGAGGCTGAGGCCTGGGCCTTGGTCAGGTTGGCACCCAGCCCTAGCCCCTTGGGCCTCAGCGAGTTTACACGGGGCTTCACCACTCTGCAGAAAGGAACACAGGCTTTCGGGGGGTATAACAGTCTCCAATGCCTAATTCCCTCCCCGTGCTCCAAACCCACCCCATCAGTATTTTCAAGGAGGCCCCTTTCAATCTCATATTACGGTATTTTCTGCAATCCTGGGGATGGAACCCAGGGCCTTGCACATGGTAGGCAAGTGCTCTACCACTGAGCTACACGTCCAGCCCCAGTGAGCGGCTGCACATACTACAGTAGGGTCTAAGTGAGTTCTCTATAACCAAATAGTACATTAACAGTTCTTCAGGAAAAATCATATGAATATACACACCAAGTAGGGGAAACGGATTATAGGACTTTTTTGTGTGTGGTTTTTTATGAGATATGGTCTCACCATGTACTTCAGTCTGGCCTCAAACAGGTGGTGATCCTCCTGCCTCAGCCTCCCAAGTGCTGGGATTATAGACATGTGCCACCACGCCTGGCAAGATTATAGAATTTTCAGGGCCGGGGATTTGGCTCAGTGGTTTCACCGCCTGCTGCGCAAGTGCAAGGACCCAAGTTTGATCCCCGGTACCAAAAAAAAAAATTATAGAATTTTTTTTTAAGATTACAGAATTCTTTTTTTTGGTACCAGGGATGGAACTCAGGACCCTGCACTTGTGAAGAAAGCAGGGGCACCACTGAGCTAAATCCCCGGCCTGATTATAGAATTCTTAATCCCAATTCCAGTCATATGTGGCCACCAAATGATTTATGAAAAAAAATTTTTGTTTTCAGATTCTCTGGAGTTTGCATTTGCAAAGAAGGGATTATAAATCTGTGTGATGGCTGGGCATCATGGCGTACACCTGTAATCTCAGCACTTGGAAGGCTGAGGCAGGATGATCAGAAGTTCTATCCCATCCTGGGCTACACAGTGAGTTCAAGGCCAGCCTGAAATATAAAGTGAGACCCCGTTTTCAATGCAAACAAACAAAAGTCTGTGTGATAATAACGAATGTTTAATCTGTGTTTACTGTGCATGCTTCATGAATATAATTTTATTTAACTCTTACAATAGACCTGTGAAGTCAGCCCCATTTTTGTTTTGTTGTTTTGTTGAGACAGGGTCTCCTTATGCAGTTCAAGCTGGCCTTGAACTCACTATATAGCCCAAGGTGGCCTCGAACTCAGTGATCCTCCTGCCTCAGCCCCTGCCTGGAGTGCTGGGATCACAGGTGTGGGCCACCACACCCAGTGAAGTCAGCACTCTTACCTCTTTTTTCAGATATGGAAACTGATCTCCAGAGAGGCAAACTTTACATAAATGGGATCCTCTTAAGGAGTTTTGAAGGGAAACACCAGTCTGAAACCATAGTAAAAGAGACTATCCAACTGGTTAAGGCGATAAAGGTACACACCCCCTCCACCACCCCTGACCTGGATGGTGCTTGGTTGGTGGTAACCACAGGGGTCTTGATCACAGCCCATCTGTCTACCCCTTACCTATGCCCCAGAACTTACTGATTGAAAGTTCGGCCAATGCCCTCGCCAGGTTTCCAGCCCATGCCCCGAAGCATGGCCAGCCCGTAGGCCTCCACAGGGACAGCCTCATAATCAGCCTCCTCTGGCACCTACAGGTAGACAAAGGAGGGTCAGGCCTTGCTGATTCCCAGCCCTCTGTCAGAAGTATGCCCGATGGGCCAGGGATTTGGCTCAGTGGTTCCACCACCTGCCTCGCAAGCACAAGGTCCCGAGTTCGATCCCTGGTACCAAAAAAAGAAGTATGCCCGATATCATCCATGGTGTGACCCTCTATCCTTCTGGCCCCTGGCTAATCAGCTCAAGGGGGAGCTCTAATTTCCTCTCACCATGCCTTACTTTACTCCTCTACCTTCAGTCCTTCAGCAAATAGTTACAAAGCATCTGTTCTTTGGCAGGTACTGTTCTAGGGGCTGAGGATAAAGTAGTGAGCAAGAGACAAAAACCTTTGCCCATGTAAGGCTATGTTCAAATAAAGATACACAATAAACCAAATTTTGTAAATGGGATATATCAGGTGGTGATAAATTAAAAAATACAGTTGAAGCTAGGCATGGTGGTACACACCTGTAATCTGAGCACTCTTGGAGGCTGAGGCAGGAGGACTGTCAAGATCCAGCCCAGCCTGGGCAACTTAGCAAGACCTCATCACAGGCCAGGGATTTAGCTCAGTGGTTTGGCCGCCTGCTGCGCAAGTGCAAGAACCCGAGTTCGATCCCGGTACCCAAAAAAAAAAAAAAAGACCTCATCACAATGGGGGGTGGGGTGGGGATGTAGCTCAGTGTGAAGGCTCTGTGTTCAATCCTGATTACCATTTAAAAAAGAGAAGGAAAATAAAGCTAGGCATGGTGGTGTGCACCTGTAGTCCCAGCTACTGGGGAGGTTGAGGCAGGAGGATCACATGAGCCCAGGAGTTCTAGGACAGCCTGGCCTACATAGTGAGTTCAAGGCCAGTCTGAACTACATAGCAAGATCCTGTCTCAAAATCAAACAGGGCCCATGATTTAGCTCAGTGGTTCTGGTGCCTACCTCACAAGTGCAAGGTCCTCAGTTTGATCCCAGTACCAAAACAAACAAAATGAAAGAAAGCAGAACAGGTTGGGTGTGGTGATGCACACCTAATATCCCAGCATTCTGGGAGGCTGAGGCAGGCTGGCCTGAACTACATAGCAAGACCCCGTCTCAAAAAAAACAAAAACAAAAAACAAAACCGAAAAATAAAAAATATGTAAAATTGGCTAGGGATACAGCTCAGTATGAAGGCCTTGGGTTCAATCTCAGTACAAAAAAAGAAAGGACAGAAAGAAGAAAAAAGAGAGAGCATGACAGTTGAGGTCCCAAAGGGACACTGCAAAAATTTTTTGAAAAGATGAAAAGATGGGTCATTGAGTTTGAAATACAGACTTTGGTCATCTGCCTGGAGACACTCTTAGCTCTCGTGCTGTCACCTCCCATCATCATCCCTTCAATCCTTTACAGTCTCACTAGACACACACCGAGTTACCTCACTGAGCAGCACACATCACAGGGATCTGCTGTCCCTGTGCTGCTGCCTGGGCTATTGCTGCCATTCTGGATACTCACTGTGCTCGTCCCTTTCTCATTAAACCTTCCTATCTTCTGACCACTCTGACCTGAGTCTGTTATCATTTCTAGCCTGGGCTGCCGGACCCCTTTCTTCCACTTTTGCTCTTTGGTCCATTCTGCTCATACAGCCAAGGGATCCTGCTAAATCCTAAGACACAGCCCTTGACTGCACAGGGCCACCTTGGCTCTCACCTCACCTAAGAGTAAAAGCCAAAGTCCTCACCATGACCCATAGCCCCTCTGCCTTCATTTACTGTCTCTCGCATTCACTCATTTCACTCCAGCCACTTTGGTCTCCTCGGTGTTCCACCATTTCACTCCAGGCCAAAAAATAAATAAATAAATAAGTAAATAGGAAGAAAGGAAGGAAGGAAGGAAGGGAGGGAAGGAAAGACAAACCAACAAAAACCACTCCAGGCAGTGTGTACCCTTATGCCCTTTGCATTTCCTTGTTCACTTTGCTTTGCTTTTCAATCCATTCAGATACTCTGGGAATTCAAGTACTTTTTCCCACGTGCTGGTGTATAGTCATTAATGCTTCCAAAGAGGAGGGAAGGAGGAAGGGATAGATGGCAGGCCTCTCTGACAGACTTTCCCTACTGTGTGCAGGAAGGCAAGCCTGGCAGATGCCAGAGAGGCTGGAACAGGTGGGAGGCAAGGGGACAGCTCACTGTCTCAGCCCGGGGTTCGCTGTCTGCCCCTTCCCCACTGGGGGTGCATCCTTTCTGGATCATGGGGATAGCGAGCGTGGGGTCAACACCCGAGATCTCTCTCTCCTCCAGAGACTTCTTGGATTCTAAGGAACAACGAGAGGGAACAATGAGGTCCAATCCCATCCTTTCACATTCTTCCCCTTCTTCCTTCACTGGGGCAGGACAAATGGGAAATCACATACCCTCAATGAGCTCCTTCACGGCCTGGGACAGCACCCTATCTGCCAAGGCCTCTGTGGATGGCACAGGGGTCTGGACCAAGGGCTGCCTGCGACAGCCATTCTGGATCAACGGGATGACCAGTTCCTTGGGAGCTTCTAGGGGCTTGACACTGATGTGGACACAAGAGGGACAAGGTTAGGGGAGAAGAGTAGCAAGGGTCAGTAAGCTCTGAGCCACATCCTTCATTTGAAGAAAACACAAGAACCAAACTCACTCTCAGTCCTAGGGACCATACAGTCCATTCAGCAGTCTGGATTTCCTGTTATGTCTCTGATGGTACATTTTCCCCTTCTCCCATAAATATCAGCGTCTTCTAGGAATCATTCCTAGATCCTTGTGCACAGCGGTCCGCAAATCACCTTCAGCCCAGACTTTCCCCAGCTCGACTGGCCTTTTGGACGACTGATTCTCTCCTGGAAATACCCCCCCCACACACACACACCCCGAGGGCCGGCAGATTCCCCTTTACTAATTAAGCTGACGACAGACAGTCTCCCTCAACCTGAATCTGCTGCTCCAGCCGTTCTCCATAACAAGCCCCATCATTTCAGATGAGACAACAGCAGTCCTGTCATTCTCTTCTTTTTTCAGAAGACATACACCTGTGTCCCCATGTCCCAAAGGCTCTCCTCTCAAAGAATATATCCTCTCTGGGAGTCTGAGGGAGGTGGGTTGTCTTGAGTTCGAGGCCAGCCTGGGCTACCTAGTAAGTTCAAGGCCAGGCTGAACTACATAGTGAGACTGTCTCAAAAAAAGAAAAAAGAGGGCCGGGGATTTAGCTCAGCAGTTTCGCTGCCTGCTGCGCAAGTGCAAGGACCAGAGTTCGATTCCCGGTACCAAAAAAAAAAAAAAAAAAGAAAAAAGAAAAAGAAAAAATAATACCTCCTCTTCTCAATCCCCACAGCCATCAGGCCCAATTTCCCCGCTTCACCTACAAACTCCCGCCTCATCTCCATAAATCTCAGGTTGTTTCAGGCTTTCCAAGTTACTGTTACCCAGACAAACAACCCAAGATTCCACCCTCCCGTTTGAGCCCACCACACAACTCCAATGCGTGAAAGACCCGGGGCTTCACCTCAGGAGCTCCCTTCCTTCCACGGTCTTCAAGAAATCCTTCTCCTCTGGGGCCGACCCCGCTCCGTCTCCCGGATCCGCCAGCCGCCTCCGGACTGAGGTACGAGTGAAGCCGAATGAAATTGGGGCTGCAGAAGGGGCGACAGCCTTCGAAATCCGGCCTTCGGCGTCCGCCATCTTGCCCCCGTTCCCAGGCTGGCGCGCTGCCTGATGGGAAGTTTAGTTTGCGCTCTGGTAGGTAAGGGCCCGCCAAGGAGCATGAGTACTACCTTTCCCATAAGACACTGTGGAATAGTCAGAGGCAGAGCGACAAGGGACCGTGGGAACAATGGTCGTCATTTTATTTTATTTATTTTTTGGTGCCAATTTAAAATACTTTTATTGAAGACATTGCATTTCCACTTATAATACAATGCTTATAAAGTGCAATGTTATCTTTTCCCTGTGCACATGTTCCATGTTCAAGTATTGAGAATGCCCAGTACTTTACTGTAGCAGTTAAACTTTTAACAAATGTCACAGAATTTTCTACAAATTTAGGTCCTTCAATGATTTATTGTGTGGAAAAATGCGAAATCTATACTTAGGGTTGGCTTAATCAACCTCTTCAATGGTAGGCCCTGAGGAAGCACCACCAGAACCAGGAGCTCCCCTACCAGGGAAGCCCCCAGGCATTCCTCCAGACACGCTACTGCACTCCGGTACAGCTTGGTAATGATGGGATTGCAGACTTTCTCCAGCTCCTTCTGTTGATGTTCAAATTCTTCCTTCTCTGCAGTCTGATTCTTATCCAGCCAGTTGATGATTTCATTACACTTATCAAGAATCTTCTGTTTATCTTCATCATTGATCTTGCTCTGCAGTTTCTCATCTTCAACAGTTGCTTTCATATTGAAAGCATAGGGGTCGTTATTTTAAATGTGTGGGATGGGTGGCACCACGCATTGTGGGAAATATAGTTCTTTTTTTGTGGTACAGTACTGGGGATCCTCTTGTAGCCTCCTCAGTAGCTGGGATTACAGATGTGCACTGCCCTGCCCAGCTGGGAAATGTAGTTCCTTAGGTACCTGGTCATGGTGGAAGGTCAATTCATTCTTCCAAGGTATTTACTCCTTTGTGTTTTTATCAGTATTTATTGAGCACTTACAGTGTGCACCTTCCTATGCCCTGCTGATATAGGAGTGTAGATAAAGTCTGATCATTGAAGAAAAAAATCAGCTGGACATGGTGGAACACCCCTGTAATCCCAGCACTGGGGAGGCTAAGGCAGGAAGATCACTTCGAGTTTGAGGCCAGCCTGAATTACATAGCGAGACCCTGTCTCAAAAAAAAAAAAAAAAGGAAAAAAAAGCAACAATAGAGTACTTACTACTCTGTTATTAAGAAAAATAAATTTGTTTTGTTTTGTTTTGAGACAGGGTTTGGCTACATAGTTCAGGCTGGTCTTGAAGTCACTGTAGCCCAGGATGTCCTTGAACACACAGCAATCCTCCTACTTGACCCTTGCAAGTGCTGTATTACAGGCATGCACCACCATTGTGGGGTTTTTTGGTGTTTTGTTTTGTTGTACCAGGGATGGAACTCAGGACCTTGAGCTTTCGAGGCAAGTGCGGTGCCACTGAGCTAAATCCCTGGCCCTACATCACCATTTTTGTAGGAAAATGGATACACCTTGAGATCCTAATGTTAAGTGAAATAAATCAGACACACAAGCTTAACTATTGCATGATTTCTCTTACATGAGAAACCAAAGTATAAATAAGTTAAAGAGCAAAATAAAAGACCGATATTAGGAAACAGGAAGACAGATCTTTTGAAAATGGGAAGAGGAGCAAGAGATGGAGGGAGGGGGAACAGAAAGGAGGGGAATTCACTAAGGTGAATATGCAGAAGAGAGGTACTTAAACAATCAAGAGTAAGAATACTATAATTCTGCTACAAAATCATCCCAAGGAAATTTGTGCAATGATTTTTATAAAGATTCATCATTATTGTGCCAAAAGCTTGAATACTTTTTTTTTTTGAGACAGGGTCTTGTTATGTAGTTCAGACTGGCCTTGAACTCACTAGGTATCCCAGGCTGGCTTCGAACTCATGGCCAATCCTCTTGTCTCAAACTCCCTAGTACCGGGATTACAGATGTGCACCACCACTTGCAGCTTGAATACTTCTTTAATAATCAACAGAAGGGGATGGGATAAATGAATTTTAATAGCACACATGTTGGATGGAAGGAATATGCTAGAGCCTTTAAATGTGAGGCTATAAGTAAAATTAAATAAAATGGGGACGTAGTCTCAGTGTTTTGGAAAGTAGAATAGTTCAGTGGTTCAGAGAATGGTCTTTGGAACAGGAAGCCCACTGTTTGATCAATCTCACGGTCATGTTTTTTGTGGCTAGAGATGGGTCCTGGAATCTTAATTATGAAGCCACTGTGATTTTCAATATATTATAACAAAATTTTAAAGTTTTTATTTAGAAATAACTTTAGATTTAAGCACTGTAGAAATATCATGGATTTCTTTCTTTTTTCTTTTTTTTTTTGTGCTGGTACTGGGGATTGAAGCCTGTTCTGACCTACATCCCCAACCCTTTTTATTTATTTATTTATTTTTTTCATTTTTTTTGGTACTGGGGATCAAACCTTTTTAATTTTTTGAGGCAGGGCTTTACTAAATTTTCCAGGCTGGGGTCAAACTTTTGATCCTTTTGCCTCAGTCTCCCAGAGTCCTGGGATTACAAGTGTGTGTCACCATGCCTGCCTCCCTTAAACATTTTATATAACAATGGTATAAGTATCAAACTCAGGAAATGGGCCCGGGATTTAGCTCAGTGGTTCTACCGCCTGCCTCGCAAGCAAAAGGTCCTGAGTTTGATCCCCGGTACCAAAAAAACCCCCAAAAAACTCAGGAAATGAACATTGGTGTAATCGTGTTAACTGTAGACCATTTTCCCTTCCACGATTCAATCTAGGCTCTCATACACTGGAATATAATTATATGCCTACTTTGTCTTCTCCAGTCTGTGACAGTTATTCAGTCTTTTTCTGGCTTTCATGGCCTTTAATGCTTTTGGAAAGTTCAATTCTGTTATTTTGTAGAACATCCCTCAATCTGGGTTGTCTGATGATCTCTCTCTCTCTCTGTTTTTTTTGTTTGTTTTCTTTTTGATACCAGGGATAGAACTTGGGTCCTTGTGCTTGCAAGGCAAGTGGCAGAACCACTGAGCTAAATCCCCGGCCCTCTCTTTGTTTTCTTGAGACAGAGTTTTGCTATGGAGTCCAGGCTGGCCTTGAATTCACAGTGTAGCCCACTCTGGCCTCCAATTCGTGGTGATCTGCCTACCTCAGCCTCCTTAGTGCTGGAATTACAGGCTTGTGCCACCACATCTGGCTGTGCTCAGGACTGAACCCAGAGTATGTGCATGCTAGGTATGTGCTCTACCACCAAGTTATACTGGCAGCCTTGCTTTTTACTTGTCTTTTATTTTTCCTTAAGAGATGGTCCAGTCGGGTGTGGTGGTACACACCTATAATCCAAGTACTCTGGGAGGCTGAGAAGGATGGAGAGATTTAGAGATCTGGGCAATTAGAGATTTAGTGAGACTGTCTCCAATTAAAAAGAGATTGGGATGTAGCTCAGGATGAAGGACCTGGGTTCAGTCCCAGTACAGTACTGCAGAATGAAGGAATGAATGATGGGCATGGGAGAGAGATGGGGTCTTCCTATATTGCCTCTGCTGGCCTCAAGTCATCCTCCCTTAGCAGCCACTCCAGGAGCTAGGAATACATGTGTGAGCCATTGCATGAGGATTAGATGCGAAGAGTTTTCAATCCATTTTCCAGATGAGGGAACTGTGGCCCAGGGAGGCTGAGTTGGCCAAGGGCTCAAATAATAAATCCTAGAGATCATGTCTAGAGTTGCTAGTAATGGAAGAAAATGGACACTTTCATACACCATGGTAGGGGCACAGATTGAATCAATTTTTTTTTTTTTGGTACTGGGGATTGAACTCAGGACCTTGTACTTGCAAGGCAGGCGGTGGCACCACTGAGCTAAATCCCCGGCCCTTGTTTTATTTTTTGAGGCAGGGTCTCTCAATGTAGTTTAGGGTGGCCTTGAACTCACTATGTAGCTCAGGCTGGCTTTGAACTCGAAGATCCTCCTGCCTCAGCCTCCCAAATGCTGGGATTACAGGCATGCACCACCATGCTCAGCTGTGAACTTTTCCTAATCCAGTGACTGTACTCCTAAGAATGGCTCTGCTGGAAAGAATGGAAATTTTAGTATTTTTTTCAGCACTGGGCATAGAAACCAAGGTCTTGCACAAATAAAACAAGTGTTCTACCATTGAGCTACATTCCCAGCCATTATTCAGGATAGTTATGCAAAGGTATTTAGTTTAGAGTAGAAAAAATAATTATAAAACCAAGATATTTTCTTGGAACAAGTAATGTGGCGTCACTGGCAGCTGAGGCAGGTGGAGAGTTCTACGGTAAAGTAGGAGGAGGGATTCATTTAGGGATCGGAAGGAGCCTTGATCTGAACTACAAAGAGGGAAGTTGATGCTGGATGCTTCCAGCAGGACTGGCAGTGTGACATTGTGAGATCACTGCATAGCCATCAGCTTTGAAATTTGAAAACTATGGAGAAGATTCAAGAAAATGTCCAAAGAATTCTTCTAGAACCCTACAGCTGCTTAACTTCAGTTATCAGGTGAGCAAGTGAAAATGAAACTTTCACAGGCATTTAATCATTGGCTGAAAGTTCCAGAAGACAAGCTGCAGGTATTTAGACAATTTTTCCCCCAGTATTGAAATTGAAATCAGGGCTTTCACACTGAGATTATTATTGAAGTGACAGAAATGTTGCTTAATGGCAGTTTTTCTCATTGATGATATTGAGGACAATTCAAAACTCAATGTGGCCCCTTGTTGGTTTTGCTACTGTGTGGGGACCATGAACTGTTACCTCTCTGCCACCCTGCTTGGAGCCAGTCGATTATGGACTGAAACCTCTACAAACTGTAAGCCAAAATAAACCTTTCCTCCTTTAACTTTGAATGTTGGGTACTTTGTCTCAGTAATGAGAGAAAAGTGACTAAGACAGAAATTTGGTACCATAGAAGTGGAGTCGTTGCTGTGACATTATCTGGTCATGTTGTAAGACTGCATAACTCTGTAATCATAAAACTCCCCTAGCCCCACCTGTGA